CCCCCCCCAGCTCTGCCCTCGGGGCACTCCCCGCTCGGCCCTGCCCGGGCTCTCTGCCCCCCAAGAGTCGCCCTCGCAGCCTCCCCACTAATTGGGGAGATCCTTTTCATCAGCACTTCCCCTCCAGCTGGCTCCCAAGCGCCCCTCCCCAGCCTCTGTGCTAACGCTCTTCCTCTTCCCCCCGAATCCTTCTCCTCCCGTCAGTCGTTTCTGAGCGATGTCAAAGAAGGAACGACTACAAAAACAAGGTAACTCTGCAAATGGAGGCACTCGGCTTGTCCTCGGGCACCAGGTCAGTCTGTGTGAGCTTCCTGGGGAGGGAGCATCCGCCTGGGGCTGGTCTGTCAGCACCGACCCGATCACTCCCCGAGTCAAATTCTTCAGATCTTTCAGCCTCTGCGTCACATTGGATATGGCACTGCTGCTATTCTGCATTTTGAATACAAAATGTGAGCTAGATCATCTTCCTCTGCTTTTAAAGCCGGATTAAAAAAACAACTAAACAAAAAAAAAAAAAAAAGCAGAAAAAAAACCCCAAACTCAAACCAAACAAAAAGGAAAAGAACTGGGAGAACTCACTCCTCTTCCAAAAGGCTACCGTACATTAGGTGAATAGCATGTTTTTTTCCTGAAGTTTCTATATAATAAATTCTCTGAAGTAATCTTCCACACCACATACATAATAAAGGCCACATAAACCTCAGAACAAAGCCTGCATGTGCAAGACAGTTTCTTGTGTTTTCAAGACAGTTTCTTTTTCCCAGCTTGGACTTCAAATGGCAGAGAAATTTCTACATGGAAATAAATCAGGGCAAAGATTGCCTCCTGGTATGTGTATAGCTCTTAGCAAGATCAAGTGCTTCTGAAAGTGTTGGTTTAGGGAACTGTTCTTTCATGAAAGAAAAGAACAGAACAGTGTTGAGAAAGCAACAAATAACCTTGGCTTTTTGCAATGACACTGCGGGACGTCCGATCACTAAAGCATTTTAATGAGAAATGTTATGAACTAAGATCATGATACCCCATTTGCAATTTTCTGTGGTATACAAGGTGTCCAGGGGGTCCTGCTGCTCTTTGGGGAGCCGTGGTTCTAATGCCCCCCTAGTCCAAGAGCTTTCCTTCAAAAGGAATCATTAAAATTTCCCAGCAATTTAATGAGTGCAGCCAGGAAAGCTGGAGCTGCTGGGAAAGGGCTGGAAAGGATCCATATAAACCAAGCCTTTAGCTATGGACAGGGAGAGGAGGTCTACAGCAGTGCCACTTTCTAGCACCTAATGAGAAGGGCTCTGGGAGGTGTCCTGGAGCCAGATGTGAAGCAGCAGCTGCCAGAAGCCCCGAGGGAAGAACTGCAGGAGGGGCCTGGAGTCTCCTTTGGGTACAGGCCAGCTGCCCATTGAATGACCCAGGTTTCCACACTGAGAAGTTGAATTTGGTCCCACTGAGAGGACAGTGTAAGGAGAGTGGCTTTCTGCAAAATCATACATACTTCTTTCTTCAGAAAATCTGAAAGCAACAGCTGAGACATTTCCAATAGTTTCCATTTGATCATGTTTAGTGAAACAAACATTTGAGACAAAAAAAAAGACAAAGGCAGAGTTTAGAAATATTGAGACCAACTTCTAAAATGTAAGGTATTTTCAAATGATATTTTATTGAACTGCAACACAGCTTTTGTAGCAAATTCCACTTTACCAGGTGAGAGGTTTAATGATCTGTTTTTCTCTAAGTGCATACCTTTGAAGGCAGTGATAAACCTTTCCGTATGCCATATTTCTGCATCTGGGAAGTATGAGCTGTTATGTACTCTGTTATCTCTCAACTGCCAGTCTGTGACCTCTTAACGTCTTGGCAAGTGTCCCATTTGCTTAGTATGTCTAAGCACTGCCATTAACTCAGTTCTGAGTAATTTCTCACATTAACAGTGTAGGTGACACATGCTGGAGTTGGTGAAAAGGCCTTAAGAGCCAGAACCTTCTCTGCAGCACAGTCCCCCTGCACTGGAGAGGACTGCAGAGGTCTGGAGACAGACTTGACCCTGCATCCTAAAAAAGGAATGTCAGTAATGTGACTTTCTAAAGGTTAAAGTGGGATTATTTTAAAAAAATAATTAAAAAGGGAAAAAAGAAAGGAACAAAGGAAAAAAAGGATTTTTGTCAGGCACTGACAAAATTATGCTGTTGGCAACAAGCCTTCAAAGAAAACTGGGGCACCTCTGCTGAAAGTACCAGGTATTCCTTCTCTGGAGGGCACAAACATAATGAACTTTTTCACAAAGAGCAAGTGTTATTTTGGGGCACTGAGCCTTTCAATTTATCAGGTGCTCTTCCTGTCACATAATCAAACCCCAAGGAACCCTAGAAGGCTTTTAGTTAAAAACAAATAAAAATAGAACTCAGTGGGAGAAGGGAACACATGCCAGTGTTCAAACACTTGTATTATCTGAAATGTTTTCTCAGTCTTTTAGTAGATTTAGTGAATCTTCTGCATGTTAAATAACTTGTGATGTTTGTAGTTGTAATAAATCTTATGCTGTGATATAAAATAATGTAAAAGACCTCTTTGTTGTTCCCTGGGTACATCATATCACAGTTATTTAATGTAAAATTGCAAAAAATATGACTGTTCACTTACAGTGAAATGGAGCCAAAATTACATGATGCAATTCCAAATAAATGTTTTTCTTGGGAAGTAACCCCGAGGGGCTGTAGGAATATGTGTCAAGGAATTGTTTAGCATCTGCATGCATACATTTGTATCTGTGGGTATGGAAGCACTCCACCCTATATCAAAATTGCTCAAAGCATAAGCAGTTGCTTATCTCAGTGGGCCAAATATCCCATCACTTTTGTGATGTTTTGTATTTTGCCCACCAGGGGGGGTGTTTAGGCCTTTTAACTGGTGAGAACTACAGAAGCGTAATTCTCAGCTCTTAATGAGGAGCACTGGTAGCAGTACGGCTTCCTTAGCTTGCTCCGAAATTGGTGCACCACCACCGAAGAGCTTATGATTTATTGTTAGATGCTGAACATGGTCTCTTAACCATATGTTGCTACTTGAAAACCATCTTCTTGAGAAGATGGAAGAGAACAAAACTGTCATTCAGACTTTTTGAGAAAAGAAAACTCCAGATTATGCCAATATTTCTCTACATTAACCATTCCCAAAATGTGAGTTACATTGATGATAATACTTCTGGTCTTATGTAGGAGTTCTGACTGGATGCAATAAGTGGCTGATGTGCACATATCATTGAGTTCGGCCCAGTGAAAACAGTTCACCGACAGGTCAACCACTTCTTGTTAGCAGTTAATGACAAATTTCATTATTTGCTTCTTACACATTTAGCAGATGCAGCCTGTACACTGTAAGACTGCAAGGTATTTAGAGAAAGACTGTTGTTGGGGTTTTTTTCCTCTCTCTGTCTGTATCTATATTAAAATTGAGATCTCAGCCTGGTACATGCAAAACTACTCTTACAATACCCATTAGCTACACCTCTGAACTATGCAGAACATCCTTAAAGTCATCCCATAAAAATGCACGTCTAGATCTGGAGATCTGCAGGATGATGTAACATTTGTATTAAAGCACAATACAAGTGATCATCCTGTGTTCAGCTATCTAGGACAAGGTGACAACCATTACTTCTTATCTTAGACTGTCTTTTGTGTGTCAGAGATGTGGCTTGTGAAATGCATGGCATACTTGATAAAAGATAATTGCAGTTGGCAGGGCCTTGGACTCAACACACACACATGTGCAGGATGACAGGGGTGCAATCTATAAGC